TGTGTAGGGAGGGGGTGGGAATGATCCTCATTATAAATTTATTCCCTCTTTTGAGCTACTGTATCCATAGGTGTAGGTCAAGTTCATTAAAGTACTCCTTTTTTCCTCTTCTTTCTTCTTCCAGTCGAGTTCTGATCATCCAGTCATTGAAGCCAGGTCAAGTGGGTATTATCTGCAGAATATTTCTTCATAGCATTTTCTATTCTATTTGGGTTTGACATTTCCTATTTTAGGATATGAATCCTATTATTTTGCCTCCTAAAATCTCGACTTGGCTTGATAGGGAGGCTCAGTTGGCGTCAGCTATCATTGGGGCTCTCTGTCCATGACCGTGCAGGTTGAAAGTAGCCGGTGGCTTGAGGTTTTGGGGAAGTGATAAGAAGCCATATCAGTCAGTCTTTATCACTCATCTTCAGAAGACTCAGCTTTATGCATCCATTGGGTATGTCCCATGTTCTAGATAAGCAGTCCCAGTGACCCACAGCATATGTGGAAGGCATGCTTCCAAATTCTGCCCCTGGCTTGTGGAGTGAGGAAGGGTTTAAGTGAGAAAGTGGAGAATGTAAATTCTCACCTGACCTGAACTTTCTTAAGCCTCTGAATCAGTTTGCTTATTTCTATTGGGATAGTTATTTAAAAATAGTGTCACGTGCTGTTTAGCTTACTACCATCTTACTATTTTCTGGAAGTTTCTTGGAACAAATTGAGATAAAACAGGATTTAGAACTGTGTTAAGCATGGCTTTGACGAAGACAGTAGTTCATATTTATAACTAAAACATTAGTTTTCCCATAAGAACAACAGATCCTGAAGAATCTGGTACGAATTTAACCACAACACACATTCCTTCAACATACTGTTCAGGTCATGCCTGGTACATACTAGTCCCCATGTGAGTCTAGACTCTAGGGATAGAAAGATGAATAAGATAATCCTTGTCCTAAAAATAACTCATGGCTTAGGACAAGAGGAATGTCAACATTTTCTGTATGTACTTTACAGAGGAATGCACCAGTGAATGTGACGCCATTGAAACTGGAGATGATTTCACTTAAAGCAGGCAGCTCATGCCAGTTCTCCCTAAGTGTGGGTGGTGCTGTTAGTCCGGGAGAATCAGGGTGACCTCTTGTGTGCAGAGTAGTACTGCTCCACGTGGTTTTCAAAGCAGATTGCTAGGTCTGTCCTCCCAGGTGCCTCTGGGTAAGTTCCAGCCTTCAACTGATTGCTGCTGACTGCATGCTAATTGTTCAGGTAGTTTCTTCTCACCTCTACCACATTCAAGCCACACTGTCTCTGTATTTCTTTAACGCCACTATTTCATTCATAAAAGAGCTTTGTTTTCATACTATTTGTTAATAATTTATCATTGTTATGAATTTGCTTTGAGACGTTTTCTTGGGCAGAAGAACACTCATCTGGAGATTTATTTACTGTGTAAAGTACAGGTTCAAAGTTTTGCATTTGTGTTGGCCAGGATAGATTTTAGCTCTATTTTTCCCTTTAAAAGTTTGTAGTTGTTGTTTAATATACTTAACAGATAGTAATGTTGTTGCTAAGGGATATCGAGTCAGTTCTGACTCAATGCGATCCTGTATAGGGTTTCCTTGGAGCAGCTGGTGAGCTTGAACTGCCAACCTTGTGGTTCAAACTGACCTTGCAAAATCCACTGCATTAACCCACAGCACCATACCAGGACTCCCTTCAGATAGCAGTAGATGTATGTTTTCCTTTAGTAGGTTCCAACTTTTAACATGTAGGATTTACATATTGGAGAAGGGTTATGAAAATGATGACAGTTACTTTGAACAAGTCTGAAATTTCTTTCCATTCTTTCTAGGTTATCTTGAAGAAATGAAGTTTTAAGGCCAAGTTATCTACCGCAGTAGAAGATGGGCTCAAATAGCAGTAGAGTTGGCGATCTTCCTAAAAATGAGTACTTAGCAAAGTTATCGGGCACAGAGTCTGTCTCTGAGAATGACCCATTCTGGAATCAGCTTTTCTCATTTTCTTTCCCTGCCCCAACTAGCAGGTAAGAGATTATCTGGACATGGAAAATTTATATGAGTCGTAAGAACTTGTGTGGTATGCTGATTTTATTCTGTTATTTTTTAATGTTCCTAATCTCCCATCCATTCCATACATGTTGTTGTACAAGCTCATGTTGTTGTTGTTAAGTGCTGGGAAAGTTTTCTTCTTGTCCCTGTCCTCCACTCAGTGACCTCCCTTTGCCAGAGATGAGCATTGGTGGAGATTTCTTTTGAATTCTTCCAGAGGGGGTGGTTGTTAAGTGCTGTGAAGTTAGTTCTGACTTACAGTGATCCTGTATAGCATTTCCAAGGAGCAGCTGGTGGGTTTGAAGCACTGACCTGTGGTTAGCAGTTCAGTGCTTATCCTCCAGCACCACCCCACTTTAAACATGTATTCCATTTTTTTTTTTTTTAACAAACAATTTTTAATTGTGATTTAGGCGACAGTGTACAGAGCACACTGGTTTCCCATTCAACAATTCCTGCACATTCTGTTTTGTGGCACTGACTGTAGTCCCCACAATGTTGCAGTGGTCTTCCCACTTCCTCCCTGTGCTGACCTTTTCTTTTAAAGTTTTTATTGTGAATTGAGTGTGAGTTTATAGGGCAGATCATCAGTTTTACATTTAAAAAATCATATACTTTGTTTCATTACAATGATTATAATCCCTACCATCACTTAACAATTTTTCTCTCTATTCATTTTAGCTATTTTTTTAACAACACACTCAGGCATATATAATAATTTAGACCACCAAAGGGCACATTCTACAAGTCTGCCTCCTGGCCGCCAGCTCTTAGTCCCTCTCTTCCCATGAATCTAGAGTCCTCAGCTGCTCTCCATCTCTGCCTCCATCTCCATTGTCGCTGCTTCTCTGGATAAGGTCTCACATTCCACTTGTGCTCTTCTCCCTTGATGGCCCTAGGGTCCTTTGTTTCTGAACTGTAAGATTAACTACTTCCCGTTTTTGTTACAAAACTTAAACCTTTACAGTTGTGATAGTCACAATTAGTCATGACAACAGTTACTCACTATTGAATCATAAGAGTCTTATCCCCATCTCTTCTAACCAGACTCATCAAGACAAGATGAAAACTGTTCAGTGGGGACTCTATCTTCCCTCACACACTCTTAAACTAAACTCCCTCTTGAAAACTTGTAAGCCAGTCACTTTGTGCCTTTATTGCTCCTTCATTTTAAGTAGCCAATATCTAAGTTGTCCGTCTCCATCTACCTGTGTATAGAGGGGATAGCATTGATACATGATGTGAAGACTCCTTCCCTTTCTGTTGGAATTTAGAGTTACTACCTCCATGAGTATAGGTCAAGTTCATCAAATGGTAGCAGTTTACCCTTGTTTCCTTTATCAAAAAAAATTTTTTTTTTCTTTATCTTCCTCTAGTTGAGTTCTGATTGTGAAGCCATTGAGGCTAGGTCAAATGGGTGCTCTCTGCATGTTTGGGTGTTCTTGTGCGTCTCCCCTCACTTCATGTCAGTTGGATGCTTCATTCTTTTTCATATATTTTTACAGAATCATTTAGATGCATATACACCCACTGTTTGGTCCATTGCTTTTTCACAACTTAGTAAAAAATACATATCCTGTATATGTAAACAACAGTCTTTGTTTTTATAATGGCGGCAGAGAACCCATGTGTCTTAGGTTTGGTTCTCTAAAGAAGCAAAATCAGTGTATGTTTATATAAAGATAGGTCTCTTTCAAGGAAATGGCTCACATGGTTGTAGAAGTGGGCAAGTCCCAAGTCTGTTGATCAGATGTCAGGCTGGTGGCTTTTGACTCACGTAGCTGCAGGGCTGGTGGACCAAGATCGGCGGGTCAGATGGCAGGCAGGCATGTCCGCTAGGTCAGATGGCAGGCTGCTGATGACTCCCAGGATCAGCAGGCAATAGAGCAGGACACTGGCTCGATTCCAAAGAATTGGAGGTCAGCTGCAGGATGAGGCAGCTTCTCCAAATAGTCAGTGTACTGGAAGTACCCCTGAATACATTTCTTCCCATTGATTGGCTGCTTATAGGTGGGAAATTACTACATCTTCAACCATTGAAAATCCTGGTTGAGTCAGTTGATACAAACAGTGCTGGCACATTATTCCTCTTACATGAAAGTAGATTTGGAGGTTATATTCATTCAAGTGGAAATCTTGGGTTGAAGTTTATGTGCATTGATCTTGATGCTACCAGACAGATACAGCTAGAGTGTACCAATTTACTCTCCTATCAACAGTGTTTGGAAGGGCCTGTTTCCCTGCCCTTTTATCATTTTAGTGCATTTTTAGACTTTATGACCTTTGTCACTGTAAAAACCAAGTGGGTGCCATGTTTGACTTCCCCTGATGGATTCCTATAAACAGAGGTCAGCCATGCTTCCACCCTACAACCTTTTTTACCCTAGTCTGACACCAACCATCCCACCACAGCACTCTCTGCTTCACATCTGGGTTCGATAATCCATTACAATGGCCACATAGAACTCGTAACAATCCTCCGATTATGGAGTTTATTAGTGAAAGTGAACAGGCTACAATTCAGGATCAAAACCCACTCAGGATGCAGCAGTTCTCCAGTCAGGAATGCCTCTTGTCTGCCGTACTGCAAACATGCCTTGCCCTTGTTTACGGATTCTCAACCATGTGGCTTCTTGGCCTCTACCCCAGTCCTCGGGCCTAGAGCCCCAAACTGCTCTGTCTCTCCACGTCACCACCTCTGCTGTCACCTCTTGCCATCTCACACTTCACTTGTGCTCTTTGTTCTTTATGGTCCTGGGATCTTACATCTCTGCTTCTGAGCTGGCTCCTTTTAAACCTAGCTGGATGCAGCCATAGAGTCCTGCACACCTTATTTGCGTGGTCCCACCCAATCACTGGTGGGAATTAAGACGTTGGCTAGAAGAGCCATCTCCAGTAAATTCAAGGCACCACAGCCACTGTGATAGGTGAAAAGCAGTATTTTGTTTTAACTCTTTATTATAAAAATTACCATGCTTTAGATTAATTAGAGGTTTGAGAAATCCGTTGAAAATTTTTGTCTGAATCACCGATTTAATTGTTAGTTTTTAACAGAACTGGGATTCTGTTAAAAAGAGTTTTTCTTTCTTTTTAAATAATTCATTTTTTTCTTGTTGAGAATGCAGACTGTACACCAATTCAACAATTTCTACACGTAAAGGAAGTCTTCTTTGCTAATCGGTAGCGATGGTGGGTGTGTGCCACCAATGAATTGGTTCTGACTCATAGTGACCTTGTATAGGGTTTCCGAGGCTGTAAATCTTTACGGGAGCAGAAAACCTCATCTTTCTCTGGTGGAGCAGCTGGTGGATTCTAACTGCTTTCTTTGTGGTTAGCAGCCCAGCATGTAACTCACTGCACTATAGTCTCCTACCCTCAAAGGGGTTATAATTTATTTGTAAAGACAAGCAACAAATGACATGCATGAAGTGTGTGATAGACGCTCTTGTGGAAGAAGCGTGTGGTAGCATGGGAATACAACAGGAATAGCTCATTGCTCTGAGCAGGTCATGGACTTCTTGTATTTATTTCATTTTGGCATATTTATAATTATCCTTTGTAATTCTTTCCCATGGTCCAAATCTCAGAAATTGACCGAGGTAATTTACTGAATCGACTCCTTGTCAGTCTTGCCCTCTAGTCACCCAGTGGAGTCCTTTCTGGAAGCAGCCCAACAGGAAGTGACCTTCAGCTTCCGATGCTTTTTCTGTAGCATGGAAATGGTAGTACCAACCCTGTAGATTTGTGGGGAGAATAAGACATCATAATGGTTTCAGAGTGCTGTCTTTTCTTTTTTCTCAAAAAGTAAATACTCTCTAGTTTAAACAAGCTCAAGGGTCGTGTCTTGAGAGTTAGTCTAAAGTGTCTGAAGGACGACAAAAGTAGAAATGGACCATGGTCCATGGCTTTACCATGACGATTGAACGTCCTCTGAGTTCTTTGAATGAATTGTTCAGCAGTTTAAAAAATTAGTCTGAACACTGAATATTGCAATTTTTGTCTTTGTGTTTAAGGGTGCTGCTTTTAATAAAGGTTACTTTTTAGAACCCTTTGCTGATTTATGAAAATTGCATTTCTATATATTGGGCACTAGATGGTGCTCATATAAGGTAAAAAGGCAGCCTCTGGCACAGTCATTGAAAACTCCTATTTCTGAGCATCAAAGTAACACACGTTCATTTTTAGTACCTTTAAATACAGAAAAGCACCAGAAGGCAAAAATAAAGAGGCACCAACCCAACAATCAGGAGGAACCATTGCTGACACTTTGGCTTATGGTGGGTTCAGTTGCCTCTAGTTTAAAAGTGTTTCTAGATACTGTTTCTTTTCCTCAGATTTTCCTCATGGTAGTGTTTCTTAAAACATAATTTTAAATGGTTATATTCTATTTTATCCATAATTTCTTGAACTATTGTTGAACATTTTGATGGTTCTATGATTAACTTCCTTGTAGCCAAGTCTCTGTGCATCTCCTCACTTATGTAAGTGAAGTAAGTTGATTTCCTGGTAAAATAATGTTTGTTTGTTTTTCTTTTTCCTTCCTTCAGTTTAGGAATGTTAGAAAATAAAAAAAGAGAAAATAGTCATTCTTATCACAAAGAGATGATCATTGTTGATATTTTGATATATATTCTTCCATTCTTTTTTCTGTGCACATCACCTCATATTTCATAGCTGCCAAGTCAGTTTTGACCAGAGAGACCCTATAGGGCAGAGCAGAACTTCCCAGAGGATTTCTAACGCTGTGAATCCTTACAGAAGCCTACTACCACATCTTTCTCTGACTAAGCAACTGATGGATTTGAACCACTGACCTTTCCGTTAGTAGCTGTGTGCTTAACACTGCTCTGCCAAGGCTCTTCCCCTTCCCCCCTTACTGTAGTTGACAATAAGTAAGAATTAAGAAAAAATATATATTTACTCCAAAATAGTTGCTGAATGCCTCCCATTTGGTAGGCGCGGTTTTAAGGACTGA